AAGTCGTGGCCTAATGGTTAGAGAGTCGGACTCGTAACCCAAAGGTTGCGGGTTCGAGTCTCGTACTGGCAGGGATTGTAGGTGGGGGGAGTGAATGTACAGCGCTCTCTCCCACCTTCAATACGGTGAGGTGCCCTTGAGCAAGGCACCGAACCCCCAACTGCTCCCCGGGCGCCGCAGCATAAAAATGGCTGCCCACTGCTCCGGGTGTGTGTTCACGGTGTGTGTGTGTTCACTGCTGTGTGTGTGCACTTTGGATGGGATAAATGCAGAGCACTAATTCCGAGTATGGGTCACCATACTTGGCCACATGTCACATCACTAGATAGATAGATAGATAGATAGATACCTCGTCTGTTGGCATCACACTGTCTGTAGCTGGTGCATGAAGCTGGCACAGGCACAGCCCACGACTTCTCATGGCAGGAATGGGAGGAGTGCCGAAATGAATTCCTCCGCCTTCTGGCCACTTCCTTCTGTCACTGGCCAGCAGTGTGTCTCTCATGTCATGGCTGTGGCAGCGAGGCCAGTCAGTGGGGTGGTGTGGGGACAGATCTGCTTCAGGGAGGGGTTGCCCTGGCAACAGCGGCCATTGAGAAAACGGATCAGCGATGTCATGACTATTGAAACTGCAGAGCTTGCATTACTGCGTGATGTTTCTGCTAGCGGGCGGTTGTAGGTCAGTCAGTGAGTGCTGCAGCAGTCAGGCAGGTCAGGATGTTAATCTAGCACAGTCATTCACACATCCTGCTGACTTTCTTTCCTATCATATGAATATTTCATTGTGTGTGTTTGTGTGTTGAACACTCTTAAGGATGTTGTAAACTTCACTCCTCTGTATTCCACTTACAAATAATGACAATACCATGGTTTCTGGGTCTGGCACTATCATAATACCATGGTATTTTTAAAGTACTGTGGAGTCCCATGTAAATGTCATGAATATGCTCATTAAGTATCATCTAAGCATAATCATTTTATGTATAAAATAATTTAAATTAGTAAATTAAAAAGCGATTCTCAATTACCACTTCATTTTCCACTTCTGTAGAATATGGTGTCAGACTTGAAATTTGGTGCTGTGGCACCACCTTGTCGTTGGAGTTGGAACTACAAGTGGCCTCTTAAAGTATTTTACACTTAAGTTGCACTTAAAATATGCTAGAGCTTTTCTCACAACTAAAATTGTCAACTAAAATTGTGACTAAAAAAAAAAAGGCTTTTTTTTTTTAGCAAAAGACAAAAACCATGACTAAACCAAAAAAATAAATAGATTAGAGAATAGATTGTATGAAGTCAGTTCCCTTCAACTTCACACTGGTGTCTTACAGAATATGGATTTTGTTGCATTTTCAAGTGTGGCACAGCTATCTAAATACCTTTTAGGCCCACTGTACATTAAAATGAGTCCAGGATTAAAAAGCGAACTGAAGGTTGTGCATGAGGAGATTAAAATATTATTGTAATGCTATATAAAATAAATGACAAATCCCTTATTTGCTGTGTTTGCCATTATGTAACTCTAGTTTTTGATCAGGTCTGTTTAAATGCATTTACAGATTCCAGTGGACAACCTGTATGTGACGAATGTAAGCCTGGCTTCTCCGGCCCAAGATGCAGCGTGTGCATGGACGGTTTATTTAAATCAGCAGGCGCGTGCGTGCCCTGCGAGTGTAATGGGAACGCAGACCCTCGCTCCATGCCACAAATATGCCACCCTGAGACAGGCCACTGCCACCGCTGCATCAACCACACAGCGGGAGCACACTGTGAGATCTGCACTCGTGGATACACAGGGGACGCCCGCTACCACAACTGCACCCTGAGAGGTACGACACGTGTGTAAGCATTGTGGGAACATACATTACTGGTCAAAAGTTTGGAATAATTCAGATTTCTTTATATTTTTTAAAGTATCTTATGCTCACCAAGCCTGCATTTATTTGATCAAAAATAGTAGTATTGTGAAATATGATAAAAACATTTTAAATAGCTGTTTTAAATTTAGATATATTTAGATAAAAGTAATTTATTCCTGTGCTGCAAAGCTGAATTTTCAGCATCATTACTCCAGTCTTCAGTTTCACATGATCCTTCAGAAATTATTCTAATATACTGATTTGCCTCTTAATTATTATTAATCATTATTGGTGCTCAATTATTAATAATGCGTCAATGTTGAAAACATGCTGCATAAAATTCTTGAGGAAACAGTGGTAATTTTTTTCAGGATTCTTTGATGAATAGAAAGTTCAACATATTTTGTTATTTATAAATGCTGAATAAAAGAGTAATAATAATAATAATTATTATTATTATTTAATCTTACTTATCCCAAACCTTTTCCACAAAAATATTAAGCAGCATAACTGTTTTCAGCATTGATAATGAAAAGAAATGCTTCCTGAGCAGCAAATCAGCATATTAGAATGATTTCTGAAGGATCACGTGACACTGAAGACTGGAGTAATGATGCTGAAAATTCAGCTTTGCATCACAGGAATAAATTACATTTTAAAATATATTAAAATAGAAAACACTTATTTTAAATTGTAATAATATTATGATAATTGTAATAATACTACTTTATTTTTGATCATATATATAAAAAAATTTACTTTATTATTCCAAATATTTTATATGCCCTGACATGTTGTAATGATGAGGTTCTTGACGTGTGATGCACCGCAGTTTCTGTCTATCTGAAAATACCATTTATTAACAGAAAAACTCATGATCTCATGAAACTTGCAAGTATTTGCAAATCCCATGATTTGTGGTTCCTCAAAAGTGGTATCTTGCAAGCAGCTTTAGGCAGACTGGTAAAAACGTCTAGCTAGATTCCCTGAAACTGCACGTCTGTCAGCAAGTCCGAATGGAGGATTTTAGCAAGTGCTCACTTTTTTGCGTGCAATATTTATCAAACGGTCATTGAATAGACAATGGGAGTTTGTCATTCCACTGATGAAAAAGCATGTGTCACTGCATTTTTTTCTTTTTCAGTAACTCATAATGGTGTCATGTCAAAAGTATGTGAGTGCATTTGTTGCTGTAGTGGTTGCTGGGATCCCATCACATGAGTCATGAATAACCAGTGCAAGCTTTGATGTAGCCTGGATAATTTTTAATGATTTTATTATACTGTTCGCACTTTTACCTTAACTAAGGATAAGGATCCTTGTTAAGGCAGTTGTTTATCGTCAGTTCCTGTGTGGGCAGTCTATTCTTTTGACAACGCCTTATTTAAAGTGTTATGTTGTATATAACATTAGATTAACTTTACGGTAGATGACAAATGGACATGGGCATACTAATGACAAGGTTTAAAGTTAAATGTATATATTTGCATTTTTCTTTAAGTCTTTTGACAATAGATTTTAACAGTTAGACTCCCATATGCTGAATCCACACAAATAAGTAAAGTAAAGGAAAAATTGAAATCGCATCATATGACCCCTTTAACATCTTTAGTGCTTGATAATGCATTAATGCTTTCCGTCATGTGGAGGCGTCACACCACAGGACTGAAAATATGAACAAAGTTAATATTAGTTCATAGTAGCTCCATGTCAAATATTACAAATTTGATTAATAATGGGGGCCTGGGGGGTAAAACTTAAAAATAGTGGGGGTAAGACATGCTTGACGTGTCTTGTTTGCTTCCTGTTTTCTTGAAAATAACTGTATTTTTAGCCACCTTTTCATCATACAAATAGCCACACCACAGACC